TTACATTCCTACCAACAATGTATGAGTGTTCCAATTTCTCCACATATTCCCAACATTTGTTATTTTCTACTAAAAAAATTACAGTCATCTCAGTGGGTGGGAAGCAGTATGCCACTGCAGTTCTGATTTGCATTTCTCTGAGACTAATGATGCTGAATATCTTTTCATGTGCCTACTGGCAATTTGTACACCTTCTTTGGAGAACCTTAATGGTATTTTTAAATAAACAGAAATGTTTGTTTTAATATTAGGCAATTTATAAATTTTTTCATAATGCCTTTTATGTTGTTGTGTATAAGGTTATCTTCCTACTTCAAGATCATGAAGATATACTTTTACATGTGTTTTTTGTTTTATTTTTACTTTTCATATGTAGATCTATAATCCACTTTGGATTTCTTTTTGGTAAATGTAAGGTGAGGGTCAAGATACAATATTTCCATGTAGCTCTACGATTAATGTAGGAAATATTCATTGAAAAGACATCACTTCCCACCACACTGAAGAGTCAAATTTTGCACAATTAAGGTAAATATACTACTGTAAATATAAATTTTATAAATATATATGTATGTATATTTTTTTCTGGATATAGTCAGCTTGATTCTATTTGCACCAACACCCACTGTCTTAATTAATACACCTTTATAATCCATCTTTCTTGAAGTCTCTAGTAATATTAGTTCTCCAGCTTTGTTCTGTTTCAAGATTATCTTGGCTATTCTTGGCCCTTTTCATGGCCCTGGGGTCTCGTGATAAACCCAGAAAATGAACACATCACTTGTTTTTGTACTTGGCATCATAGAAAAAATTCCATTCAGCAGAGAGTTTTAAAAATTGATCTTTTGTACTAAATCTTAGCTCATGGAATTTTATGAAATGATTTTTGAACACTTACTGTGAACAAAGCCCACAAATGAAATGGTAAGTGCAATATGTGACAGAGGTTAGTTCTACCTTCAGTGGGCAGTGGTCAGAGATACTCAATAGAATCAAAGGGCTATAAATGATGCAATATAAAAATAATAGTATGTTGATAGAGGTTGACAGGTGGAAAGGACAGTGAAGTTGAACATAAACTTAGAAGCACACATTTCTTCATTTTACATAGTAGTACATATAAGTGTTAGAAACTCAAGAGAAAAGACTAAGGTCAATAACTCAGTAAGGAAGGGATTACAGAAATCTTCTCAGAAGGCATTGAGCATCTCCTAAGAAAAGACCAATAGATACATGCCCCATTCAAAAATAAAACAAACATACAATAGTTAAACCGTCTTGCTGCCCACCACGTTACAAAGAAGTTCACCAGTAGAGAAGCCTCACTCAACATGCAGAGATATCAATCAATATTTAAGGGCCCCACTCTTTTGTATGAATAGAGAGAAAGGAATGTCCCCCAAACTCCACCTATAATTAGTATTTTCAGAGACAGAAAAAATGATATTGAATCTATGATGAAAGAACAGAATAATACATTTTAGGAAATGTATTTTAGGAAAAGATTTAGGAAAATCTTCCTAAAAGTAGGCTGCAAAAAACAAGATATGGGAAGTAGGACAGAAAAAAAAAAAGGTTAAAACAATATTTTACTAAAGGGAGTTCTGGGGTGGGGGTGGAGGGATAAGACAAAATAAAATGAAAACAGAAAATAACAGAAAAAAATTCTAAAAATTTTCCCTGACCTAAAGGTTATGTGTTTACAGGTCAAAAATTCCCAATAAGTACCCAAGTTAATGTATGAAAAACATCTTACAGCAAGGCCACAGGGATATCTAATATCTAATATCTAATCTAATATCTCCCAGAGAGAGAGAGAGAGAGAGAGAGAGAGAGAGAGAGAGAGAGAGAGAAGATAAAAATCAACAACACTGTAACAAGAACTGGAATACCGTGGATTCTTCCATAGCAGAACTGGAAGGCACATGGCAGTGGAGAAATGCCTTCAAAATTCTGAGAACACAAACTTCTACATGCAAACAATCTATCAATTAACTATGAGGGTAGAAAAAAAAAGTTATTTTAAAACATGTAAGGACTCAAAAATTTACTTCCCAGGCACCTTTTGAAGGATCTGTTCCAACAAAAATGAGGAAATACACCAGAACAAAGACTTGGAATCAAAGTAATAAAGAGAACAGCAAAGAGAAGACCTAAGATTTAAAAGTAAACCATTTATTTAAGAATCACTGAAAAGAGAGCCTGGGAAGAAAATATCCAGGAGTGATGGTGGAGAAGTATGTGGTATTAAAACAGCATCTGACATGTCTGAGCATTAGGAAATAGATTGCTAGACTATGACAGATCTTTTGGAGCATGTAGCAAGAATCAGCAATAGAAACATAGAAAACTAAACAAAAAAAGAAGATAAATTATTAATGCCTTAAAAATTAAAGAGCTGTAAAACAATATATTCACAGATCACTGTTAAGCTTACATTGGCTTAGCAAAGATCAAGATTTGCTTAATCAGTCAATACATAATGTTTAAAAATAATAAACATAAGTATAATAAGAATATTATTTGGAAATATGTAGATAAACATCATAACACAGAGCTAAAGGAGTTGAAAATGGTTATTTTGGGGGAAAGGGTGGAATTGAGTGGATCAGAATCTTAGGGTTTTCATTAAAAGGTTTTTTTTGGATTATTTGACTTTTTAATTATTTGCTTATAATACTTTAATAAAATATTAAATTATTAAAAATAAAGTTGCATAAATAATAGAGGTTTAAGTACATTATTTGAAGGCCTAAAGATAAGTAATCACTAAAAATATATAAAATTAAATGAGACTGACCAATGGAGAGAGAGAAGAGGGGGAAAGTCGAGGCTAGATTGATCAGTTTTGTAGCAGGAAATCAAAATATATGTTTAGAGATAAAAAGTCATGTGATATGAGTTCATATCACATGAGGCAAAAGAGGGAAGAATCTTTTATTTTTTATAAATCCCTTTGTAAGGTTTGAATTCTTATTTTCCTGCATATATATTACTTCTATAATTATAATTATGTGTAATTAATTTAGAATTAACACAGGAAAAGATTGTGGCATAATTCACATCAGTGTGGAAAGGTCTCCACACTGCCCTGGATGGAGACTTGCAGGGGAGGAAATATGAGACTCAGGTTTCAGAGATGCCTCTGAATCTTCTTTACAGCTTGGCACCCAGACCTGGAATGGATAGTCCTTTGTTTATCTGAGTACATTCATGGATTTTTGGATATGAAATCCCTGAAACTAGGGAAAG